TGCTTCACCGGAGGAGAAGACAATGACAGAGGAGCGGGTGAATTGCCAACTTATGACACCGCTTTCCAAAGAGAATCGATAGCCCTGAGAGAAGCGACGGTTCCGCTAAGAATCAACCCATGTTGAGTCGCTGTAGCCAGTGAGAAGGAAAGGAGAGGGGCCACTAAGGGTAAGAACAACATAATCCTCAGTGCCACGAAGGGTGAACGCACTTGGCAGCTTGCCAGTGCTCAACTGCTTGCCCATGCCAACAAAATGAGAGAGACTATTCAGTCGACTCAAAAGAGGCAGTGGCGAACGCACTTAACACGCTTGGCAGCTTGCCAGTGCTCATTAGGTCTGCTTACCCATGCCAACAAAATGAGCAAGAATGCCAATGAATTATGGAAGGTCCAGGTGGGTGGACAGTGACGTCACAGGAGAGAGCGGATGCGTTTGAGATAGGAATGACGAGAGACAGAGGAAGAGGTGAGTGAAGCGAGGTGGTGCCAACAAGGAGAGGAGTAGGCTTAGGGTTGCTGGGGGCAGGGTAAAAAACGGCCGCTTCTTTTTACAATTTACCAGAAAAAAACCGTTGTAAAGAACGGTTTAAAATGGTTCCAAGAGGGGAATTTCGTTTGAAGAAAAAACTGGCCATTTCATGAAACCAAATTGATGGCGAAAATCAGCAGGATGGAGAGGACGAACCCTTTCTTGCATGTGTGCGTGTGTGGGCATGGTTGAAAATGTATCCGACATTGTTTTTCCCTTATATTCTTGGTGAAACTTGGCTGCGGGTCATGTCAAATCGCTCTAAGACCTCCTGCAGGTAGTGTCTTTGGGGGAAAGTGATGGTGTAGCAAAGGAATCACAGGTGAAGCCATGCAGAGAAAATCCTACAATGTGTCTTGGCATATAATATCAAGTTAGTTGCCTAACTTGGCTTTCACAGGCTCCAACTTAGTAGGGTAGGGTCAAGAGTGAGAAGAATCAAGTCGTCGACGTTTACGGGGATGCAGAAGCGGGAAGGCGGGGGCAGGAGGAGGAAGAGGTTGGCATCAGATCGAGAGGTGCGAAAGCCCAGCATGTCGTATCTTGAGCGTCTGTTTGAGGTCGTACATAGGCCGACAGGAGGGAAGTAACATAGACCCACGATTCCCCATGCATCGAGTGTGAGGTTTTTGAGAATTCTCAAAAACCAGCAACATAGACCCACGATTCCCCATGCATTAAGTGTGAGGCTCAGGTTATGCATTTCCTGTTATTCAATTCAAGCGTCCTCTTCCCCCCCTCCCCCGTCCCGTTGCCTCCCCTTTCAAATTGCCTTGTGTGATTGCTCGGTTATTCTATTTGCTTGCCCACCAAGCATTTTCCAAGCATCCAGAACTCCAAGGAACAAGCGCCTGGCGCTTTGACGCAAGCGTGTTGACGCCAGCGTGATGGGCTAGCGACAAAAATGCTGGTTAAATCATAGCCCACCTGCATCTTCTCCACTCCACGTTGCAGCTACTGCTCCACCAGACAAGCCTGGAAAGAGTCGCATTGCAATCCACTGCATTGCACCCATTCAACTGCACTGCAACCTTCCACATCCATTCAGACCCACCTGCATCTTCTCCACTCCACGTTGCAGCTGCTCCACGGGGGCGGTCTCGAGGCGGTAGCGCATCGAAGCAATGTCGTCGGGATCGATGTTGATGGAGAAGGAGGAGTAGTCCAGCTCGTCACCCCAGGGATTGTCGTGGTCTCGGAAAAACGTCACTGGGATGCACCCTGACATGAGCGCCTGAGTAGTTGGAATTGGGGGAAAGGCGATTGTGGGGGAAGGGAGTCTTGGTTAGTCCACATCGCCGCCGTCCCTAGAGATTGCCGTGACCTCTTAAGAACGTCACTGGGATGCACCCTGAGATGAGCGCCTGGGAAGCAGAAAAGGGGGGGGATAAACGGGGATGGGCAAATGACATCTCTTTGCTCCCTACTGTGATTGACTGTATTTACTTGACTAGATTGATTCGATCGATTGGATTGACTACATTGACTTGATCAATTGGTTTGACTACATTGACTTGATCAATTGGTTTCACTACATTGACTTGATCAATTGGTTTGACTACATTGACTTGGTCAATTGGTTTGACTACATTGACTCAATTAATTGGTTGGTTGGACTACATTGACTTGATCAATTGGTTTGACTACATTGACTTGATCAATTGGTTTGACTACATTGACTTGATCAACTGGTTTGACTACATTGACTTGATCAACTGGTTTGACTACATTGACTTGATCAATTGGTTTGACTAATTTGACTCGATTGACATCACCGGCTCGCACCTTGAAGGGGCGGCTGGCCCACTGGGAGTGGCATTGACTCGATTGACTCGATTTACTTTATTGACTTAAATAACACCCGCTCGCACCTTGAAGGGGCGGCTGGTCCATTGGGAGTGCCCCGGCGGGCAGATGCAGAAGACAGCTCGCTGCCACTCCTTGTTCGTCTGGTTCTCCGCCTTGGCTGCGAAGCTCCACCCCTTGATGCGCTGCTGCTGGTACATCTGGGTGTGTGAGTGGGGATGAGAGGGAGTCTATTTCAGGGGAAGTGGAGCGGAGGAGAGGGAAAGCTCCTTGTTCGTCTGGTTCTCCCCCTTGGCTGCAAAGCTCCACCCGTTGATGCGCTGCCGCTGGTACATCTGGGTGTGTGAGTGGGGGTGAGAGGGAGTCTATTTCAGGGGAAGTGGAGCGGAGGAGAGGGAAAGCTCCTTGTTCGTCTGGTTCTCCCCCTTGGCTGCAAAGCTCCACCCGTTGATGCGCTGCTGCTGGTACATCTGCACACGTGTGTGCAGAGGGGGGGGAGGGGGGATGAGGGAAGAGAAAAAGGGGAGGGGAGTAGAAGGGAGGGGAGGGGATGGGAGGTGAGGGAAGGGGAGGCAGCTTGGGCCGCAACGCAAGCTATGGGCGGGTTGAAGGAAGGCGCCCTGTTTCGTGTTTTGAGTCGACTCAAAACACGGCGGGTTGAGGAAAGGGCGCCCTGTGACTTTGCTGGTCTACCCACTAACCCAACCCAACCCCCAAACCCGAAACCCAACCAGAGCCCCAACCCAGCCCACTCCCTATCACACATACACTGAGCAGCTCGGGGCGCAGGTCGTGGCCATGGTGCATGAGAGGCGCCCTGTGGCCCTGCTGGTCTACCCACCACCCAAGCCCACCAACCCCCAAATCCCCAACCCCAGCTCCCCAAACCCCTACTCCCCACACCCAAAACCCCACACCCAACCCCCCGTCACACATACACTGAGCAGCTCGAAACCAGAGCCCCCCAAACCCTAAACCCGCAGCCTGAAACCCAGTCCACATTGCACCTGTAGCGAGCAGCTCGGGGCGCAGGTCGTGGCCGTGGTGCATGAGGGGCGCCCTGTGGCCGTGCTGGGCTGAGAAGGCCATCTGCCCCATACCCGCCCTGCTCCCCCAAACCCAAACTTCAACCCCAAACCCCAAGCCCACACGCACAGCGAGCAGCTCGGGGCGCAGGTCGTGGCCGTGGTGCATGAGGGGCGCGTTGTGGCCCTGATGGGCTGAGAAGCGGAAGATGGCTCGCATGGGGCGATGGCCAGTGAAGGGCGACACCATGGGTATCTGAGGAGATTGGGACACGAGGTTCGACGAGAAGAGAAAAAAATAATTGTGGGCAAACAAACAACAATAGTAAAAAATTAAAACAAAAAACAAAATCACAATAAAAAACGTAAACAATTGTCAAAGCTCGCAAAAACTTCGTCATCACCCACCCACCTGGTCGCCAATAAAGGCTGGCACAACAATGTCACGGTCAGGCATGTAGCATGGGATGTCCGGAAACTGCGTCTGCAGTGGCGCGTTGTAGGTGTACCCTATTATCTGCACATTCGGTCAGGGGGGTATGGGGGGAATTTATGGGGGATAGAGGCATGGAGCAGGGGACGTCAGGGAGCTGTGTCTGCAGTGGCGCGTTATAGGTGTACCCTATTATCTGTGCATTCGGTCAGGGGGGTATGGGGGGAATTTATGGGGGATAGAGGCATGTGGGGATCAGCCCATGTAGCATGGGACGTCAGGGAGCTGCGTCTGCAGTGGCGAGTTGTAGGTGTACCCTAAGATCTGCGAAGGGGGAGAGGGAGATGGGAGATTAGCTTTTGGGATGAGAGGGAGATGGAGTAGAGGGGATTATGCCTTGCAGCGGGGGAAGTCGGGAAAGGATGGTGAAGTGGGGGGGAGCTAGGGGGAAAGGGGGGTTCGGTGGGGGATTGAGGGGAGTAGGATTTGCAGTGGGGGGGAGAAGGGAGAGGGGAGAGGGGAGAGGGGAGAGGGGAGAGGGGGGAGGGGAGAGGAGAGGGAAGAGTGAATAGGGGAGATGGGAGGGGTTAGTAGCATGATGAGCTTAATGAGCGATTTCTCCTTGTTTGGGACTGCAGCTTCCTGCAGATTTCTTGGAAATTGTAAGAACATTCCTGCACTTTTTTGTTTGTTTGTTTATTATTATTATTATTTCAAGATACTTCCTGCACTTTCCTCTCCACCTTCTCCTGAGCATGCACGAATGCACTTGCACTACGCTGCAGGTTACCCTCCCTCCCTACCTGCAAGTTCCTCTCCTGAGACGCGTGCATGGTGCGCGCGAGGCGGTCCCCGTTGAGCATCACGAAGAACATCTCGCCGTACAGGTCGGGGTTGACCCAGGTCAACGCGTGGCAACGGCCGTGATCGAACGTGCTCGTGCTGAAGTGATCTCGGCCGTTGGTGCGGTTGAAGTAGGGGAAGTCGCGGCGAATCATGGTGAGAATGTCGTGCCACGCCTGCGGGGGAAGGAGGGTGTGAGGGGATAGGACGAGGAGGAGGGGGGGGGGGGGGGGGGGGAGAGAGAGGGGGACGAGGAGAGGGCGTGCGGGTGGGGACGGGGAGAGCGCTGCATCATGCTCTTTATAAGCATGTTCAGCTGCATGATGTGGCTCGACTCGATATAAGCAGACTCAGGAGCGCACCTTAGAAACCTCCCCAACCGACTTATGCATCATGTTCTTCATCAGCTTGTTCACATGCGAGATGTGGTTCGACGAATAGTACGGCACGTAGAACAGCGTCGCCTTTTCTGGATCCGTTGTGCGAATCGCGTTGCTGCGCATAAGCAGCTCCGTCACCACCGATTCCACGTCATACTGGTCCGAATACCACTCCTTGGCGCGCCCTTTAATCTTGTCCGTCCACGCCCATTGCGTGTCGTACACGTAAATAAACTGCTGGTTGCTATCGTCGCGAGCTGCGTCCCGACTGGCCCCGGAACCGCCGTCGTTCCCGCCGGAAAACGCGGCGACGGATCCGATTGTTGCTGCTGCTGGGGAAGGCTGCGAGTCTCCCGCAACGGGAACGGCGGCGGAGGTGGCGGAAACTCCACGGGATTCTAAATCGCGTCTTGCGCTGGGAAGGTCTCTGGAAAGAGACGAGGCGGAAACGGCGGCGGCGGCGGACTGCTCGGGATTTTCTAGGTCTGGACAGAAGCAGTCTTGCGATTGCCGCTGCAAATGCGAACTACACAGAAGTAATATCAACATGAGCGACGCGACGCCCACAAAGACGACGAGCTTGGGAGCGCGCTTCGTACTTAAGAGTTGCTGCTGCATCTTAGCGGCTTGTACTTTAATCTTAGAGACGTCCAGGACTAGCATCTGAATCGAGAACATGACGCGGTCCGGGAATGGTGAAGATTCTAAGTGTCAAGCCTGAAAATAATATGGATTGGATAAGATTAGGGCTTGAGAGGGCCGTGACAATATCGGAGATGCGCGCACTAAGTATACGCCGAAGTAGTCCTGCCTCGATGTTGTCGCTTATTTGGGTGCTGCCTTATCTCCCAGCTGTCGACAGTCTCACTGGTGTTGCTCCTAGCCTGAACAGTTTCTGCTCGAAGAAACTAACCACCTCCACGATTCTAGTACGCGATGTCGCTCGTGGTAAATGTAAAAACACAGCCGCGACGCGAGGGAAGTGCGTCCTGCATATTGAGTTTGAGAAGTGTAGCTTTGATGCTGTTTGGTGTGGACCATGAAAATGATATGGTTGGTGGGTCAAGCGTCAGTTCGAGGCGTGGGTGAGAGTGATTGGGTTCGGTCTTTGGTTCGGGACATATGAGTGTGTGGTTCAGCCAGACTTGGTGGCTTGGTCGGGGAGTTTTCAGCCTCCGGGACTTCCGAAGAAATATATTTTTGTTTTGTATGATGAATGTCTCACGTTGACTTATGTACTGCACTGGTTTTGGGAACGTCCCTCACGCGTTTTCTGTTAGAAACAAATGAACGCAGGAGTTCAGGCGAATCTGGAAGTCCTTGTTTGATTCGAGCGACTCTAAATGCTGCATAGCGCCATCTCATGTACGGAGTATTCAGAGAAAATTGTCCGTAAATGTTTTGGGGGGCCAAATTTGTAAGACATCCCGCGAATTAAATACTATATTGGGAGCTGGTAATCGTTTGTTTCACCTAGGTAGTTTCCCAGTGATTGAGAAGATGCTGTCATTGATGCCCCATCCCTCATTCTTGGGACATGTCTGGACTTACCATTCAACCCAGGACCCTGCTCTGAATTCGTCGCTTTGGCAAATGGGGAGCTTCAACTCAATCCAAAGATTATAGAGAAATCTGCGAAACAAATTCAGTGAGAATTGGAGAAACAGCCACAGGCGTTTCCACGTCGTGTTGTGTAAGTTGTTTTTTGCTGTTTCTTGTCCACCAGCTGTACAATACGTCGATGAAACTTCGAGGCCGTAAGCACTTCTGAGCTCCCTTTTCACTCCAGCTGCTCTGTTTGTCGTGACATGATCGAAGCATGATTGGCTGGAAGGTCACCAATCACACACATGTTCCGTCCCTTCCCATTCGCGCATTCCCATACCAAACGAGCCCCCTAGGTTCACCAAGGTTTTCGAACCTCCATTGGTCTGGTAATGACGAACTTAGGGCTCGGAAACGATGAAACCTGCTCGCAACACATCTACACCCTGCCCACAACAATCAGTTGGTTCGTGGTTTGGATGAGCTACCGCTTGGGATCGCCACTAACCTTTTTGAAACGATTGATCCAACGAGCTGCAAGGGACACTATGTCATGGAAATAGCTGTTTGTTCCAAGCACAGCAAGGTCTGAGGTACAGAGGCCCTGCTCGGTAGCCTTCCAGTCACACTGGGCCCACTCGAACTGGGGAAGCCTACGACATGTTTCGTAGCCAAATGCAAGAAGTTACCGCATGTTTCTTGGGAAATTACTTGCCGAAACTTTTTTCAGCTGTTCGAGGCTGCCAAACAGAAAATCAGTCCGCCAAATGAAAAGCCGTCGATATGGAAAAAGAAAATCAGGAACGGGAAGGATCTCTCATCGTTTGAAAGAGCGTGCTAAAAAACCTTAATTTGACCCGATTCGAAACTAGTGCAGCGTATACCCTCCAGTCTGCCATTCTGAGCGGGCCTGCCTGGGTTGAACTGGAAAGCAGAAATGGGAGGGACTTCCACTGACTGTCTAGTTTGCCTGGGCGCGACAGTTTCGTGGTAGTATCCTCACACGCAGTTGAAGTAGGGTTTTTATGCCTTCGGTAGCCCAGTTGCACTGGACAGGCTCGGTGTTCTAATAATGGTTTTTTTGGGTTTTAATTGATTTGAATTTCGGAAACAGAAGATCCCACGCACCAACCACAGTATGACTGGGAAGGCTACTGAACAGGGCCAGACTTCATGGAGAAAGGCTCGGGAATACCAGGGGCCACCATTCACACAAACCTTGCACACGACTCGCAGTCGCCGAGTAGCGGAAGCAGCACAACGTGTAGGAGCATATGAAAAGCCTCAAATGGTATTCTGGTTAATCTTTCACAACGGGAAACTTGACTCGTCCAGGAGGGAGACAGATTCTGGATAACAGTTTGTGCAGCCGGCAGCATGTCGATGAGCCCTCTTGTGCCCGACGCGCCCTTATCTCCTAAGAGCCTCTCGAATCGCCTCGCTGTCGTTGTCCTTGCGACTATCGGCCTTATTGCATCCCTGTACATCTTCCGTCAAGAACAGCCGTCTTGTATATGCGATAATGACGTCAGCACAGGCTCCAGTCAAATCGCAGGTGCTGAAGCTCCTGATGGCGTTTTCCCCGTTAATGAGCTCTGGCCCGCTGCTGAAGTTAAGCGTCCCTGGGGCGGCAATACTGTTCCGATTCGGCTTATAGAGAACGCGAACGCTTATAACGTGTACGCGCGGTTACCGAATAGTCCTGCTGACACTTTCAATCCGCTTCTCGCGGCGGCTGCTGCGGAAGAAAAGAAGCCGTTTATATACGTGTACGATTTCGGGCCCAACTGTACGGATAGCATCTCCGGGCTGGACGTTCCGCCGTACGCGTTACATTTTGACCTCGAACGGAAATTGACGGAGCAGATTCTATCCGACGCTGGTGGTGTTCGAACCCGCGACCCGAAACAGGCTAGTTTGTTCTTCGTGCCACTTTACTCTGCCCGGCTGCTCCAGTACTACCTAAGCGTCTCGAAAGGAGGTTCGGATATGCGCGACGCGGTGGAAAAGACATCGCAGGTCTGGATGGCATTGCTTGCCAAGGTGCGGCGCGAGCCGCACTTTTACAGATCCAACGGCCGAGATCATTTCTCAATTCTGTCGACGCGGAACGGGAGATGCGACGCGCTGACGTACATAAACCCTAAGTTGCTAGGCGAGATGTTCTTCGTGACTTATAATGGGGATAGTCTGGTGCGGAGCGTGCACACGGGATGGACTCCAGACATGCAGATGCGGGTGAGCGACCCATTTAATTGCTTTCTTATCGTATGCATCGCGTCTAAACTTCACGGCACTGTAAATGGAAATTCCAGATTTTATCTTTGTTGAGCGAATAAAAAGCATGTGCAAAGGTTGTTTCTCACTTTCTCCCCTCTTCTGTTCCACCACCCCCAGTCTACTTTCCACACCCCCCTTCCCCGCCCCCTCCCCCTTCCCCCTTTCCCCTCTTCCGCTTTCCTTTTTCCTCGTCCTCCATCCTTCCCCGCTCCCTAGTCTTCATCCCCCACGCGCCGCCCTCGCCACCTCTTTCGCTCCCCCTCCTCCCCATGCTGTCGCACGCACCTCGTGTCCCCGGCCAACTGCCATGCTCAATTATGCTGCGGTCGCTGGTAACGCTGCCGTGGCACTTGCAGGTGCTGTCATATAACCACAAAACGCCTATCAACGTCGTTATTCCAAACATCGCCTGCTTTTTTTAGGCTCCTCTAAAGCTGTGCCACTCCTGCTGCTGTGCTCATTCCCCCTCTCCCCCTTGCAGGTGCTGTCTTATAACTACGGAGCGCCTGTTAACGTCGGTATTCCGGACATCGCCTGCTATTCGCCGGGGCGGGATGTGGTGGTGCCGCCCCTGCTGACTCAGACACACGTCATCCCCCCCTTGCTTGCACACACTGCTGCTGCTGGTGCCGCTAGTGCCGCCGCTGTACCTGCAGACGACGAGTCAGGTGGTTTTTCAGGTGCTTCTGCTGCTGCTGCTGCCGCCCCACCTGCGTATGGAGGTCGCACTATCCGTGTGCTGATGGTGACGTCAGCGGCCAACATGGCTGACATCAACAACTTCAGGATCAAGGAAGGATTGCACCACAATTATCCGGTGGAGAAGTGGTTGATAGAGGTGAGGAGTGGTTGATAGAGGTGAGACGTGCTTGATAGAGGTGGGTGTGGTTGAGAGGGGTGGGGGTTGGTTGAGATGGTTGAGGGTGTGGGACGGTGGTGCTCCGCCGTGATAACGAGGCTCCTAGGGTCCGAATTCTGAGACTTGTCGAATCTCAAAGATCCCACATAATGCCCGCTCTGCTCCCTCCCCACTCCCCCCCCCCCCCCAGCTCTATGCGTCCGACGCAGCAGTCATTGAGGGGTGGACGGTGGTGTCCCGAAACGACAACGAATTGGCTTCAGGGGTCCGGGTCCGGGGGGATACGATACCCCTGAATTAACTCGTGCTACTGCTTCTACTACCGCTGCTGATGGTGGTGGTGGTGGTCCAAATGTTAAGGCGCCTCAAAAGCACTCAACCCCCACACCCCCGCCCTCTCCCCTGCCCCTTCTCCGCCTCCTCCTTCCCTCCCCCATCCCATTTTCCTCTCCAGATCTACGCGACCAACGCAGCAGCCATCGAGGGGTGGACGGTGGTGTTCCGGAACGACAATGACGAGGCTTTAGGGGTCCGGGGGGATGCGCCTGAAATTACTCGTGCTGCTGCTTCTGCTGATGGTGGTGGTGTTGCTGCTGCTGCTGCTGATGGTGCTGGTGGTGGTGATGGTAGTGGTGGTGATGATTCTGGTGCTGCTGATGGTGCTGCTGATGGTGATAGTGATGATGGTGCCAGTGTTGGTGACAACAGCGAGTGGGGCAGCAGTGTCTTCTGCCTCATACCGCCTGGTCGCGCCCAGTGGACCTTCCAGCTCGCCAAGGTGAGCTCCTAGCTGGCCCATGGTCTAGAAGAGCTCCCGAAACCCAGAACCCGAAACCCAAATCTCAAAACCCCGATGCCTGGTCGCGCCCAGTGGACCTTCCAGCTGGCCAAGGTAAGCTCCTAGCTGATCACGGGGGATGGGTCAGGTGGGCGGCAACTGGTTTACTCTTTGTACGAATGGCAGGGTCTGTCTGTCTCATACTGCCTGGTTGCACCCAGTGGACCTTCCAGCTGGCCAAGGTAAGCTCCTAGCTGATCACGGGGGATGGATCAGGTGGGCGGCAACTGGTTTACTCTTTGTACGAATGGCAGGGTCTGTCTGTCTCATACTGCCTGGTTGCACCCAGTGGACCTTCCAGCTGGCCAAGGTAAGCTCCTAGCTGATCACGGGGGATGGATCAGGTGGGCGGCAACTGGTTTACTCTTTGTACGAATGGCAGGGTCTGTCTGTCTCATACTGCCTGGTTGCACCCAGTGGACCTTCCAGTTGACCAAGGTGGGCTTCCACCTCACTCTAATGGCCCTTTCATTGATTCTCAAAAGTGTAGAGACATGCAAGGTAAAGGCATCACGCGCGTAGGTCTAATGCATATTCCACTTCCTATTCACTCTTCGGCTCCCCACCCTCTAAGCAAGATCCAGTGCAGGATCAAGAACCGAGAGGCATTCCCCAAGGGACGGGGCCTCACCCACTGCCTTTAGTAGCGGGTTTTCCACCGCTGCCGCTATGCTGCACTTTTCTAGATAGCCAATCGACTGCTCCGTTGAAGAGCCACCGACCACCGCTGCCTGTATTGGTTTAAGAGCTTGGCAGCTTGGTAGGAGGATGGCTCGGCGTAGAAAAACCGCCTTGCGGCCGTCTCTGCGAGCAGCTTCAGGAAGTCAACCGTCTCAGGGCATGGACACCCGTATGTCTCGACCGTGAGTGGGAAAAACTTCACCCACTCTGGGCGGTCCTTACAAAGGCCGTGTTTCTTATCTGCCGCTTCTCGTGCCGCCCACCCCCGTCCCTTGGTTGAGTTCCCATCGCGGGTGCTGATGGGATCTGTTACCGTCACATCACAGATGTAGACGGCGCCTGTAGAGCGGCAGCGTAGGGCCAGATCCGCCTTCTTCTCTTCCACTGGGCTGAAGGCGGCTGTTTCGATATGCACCATAAAGCCAGCATCTCGCACCATCCGTGCGCATTCGTCTCTAAGTTCGTTGTGTGTGTTGGTACGCCCCCCCCCCTGTCCCGCACCGTAGTAGGTGGTTCGGGAGCCTTTTGTCAAGGATCTCCACCTTCTTTGAGCAGTTGCAAACCCTGGGAGCTGCAAAGGGGAGGCCCAGCCGAAACTGGAGCCCGTTGGCATAATGGGGAGCCTCGAGGTGTAGCGAGGAGTGGAGGGGCACAGCATTTCACCATTCTCCCGCCCCGTACCCTGACAGGGACAGCATCCGCTGCGTGTGACCATTGGTGGGGTTCGGGCTCATCCCTTTTGAGTCGACGCAAAAGCACCTCCTGCACTTGCACCGCGTAGCGCTGGCCCTGAATGGCCGTGGCCAGCCCGTGCTGTAGCTTTCCTGCGGTTGGGGCCGCTCTCTCTGCTTGCAGAGCTTCTTGGGCCGGCAGTGGGAGCTCCTCCTCGCATTCCGCTAGCCATTCGGTGAAGGGGGAGGACTGGGTGTAGGGGCCGCGCATCAGCTCAGCTCGCGTGTAGCATCCAGTGGGCTGGTGCAATCGCTATCGAGTGGGTCAAGCAGGAGCTGCGCCTGTGTGTAGCTGGTGAGGAAGCTATAGCTTCCCTCCACGGACGGGTCTGTCAGCCCGAGGCCACCGAGCGACACGGGGAGAGAGGCCTGCGCCCAAGTGCGTGATGTTTCCTTGTCCCCTCGCGGGTGGTTAATGCCACATGCCGTTCGCAGAGTTTCCAGCAGTCGCCGCCCGCATTCAGACCACTCCTCCTTGGGCAGGGACGGAAGAGGAGTCGTGCGGGCCAAGTAGGACACTCGGCGCGAGATGCACCGAGACAGCAGCAGTCCTGCCAGCTGCGGTTCCATCCGCTCAATCAACCCCAGCGGTGCACCCATCGCCTCTAGGCTGGATCGTACGAAGGTGGAGGTAGCCCTGGGGGTGCCGATGTAGCTGCCCATCACTTTCAAACCATCGCTGCTGGGTGGAACTCCCTCAGGTAGGTGGTAATCCGCGGGCGACCTATTTGACCATGCCCCGCACTTGGCGGGACTGTGTTTGAGCCCGATTTCTGCAAGGTGGCCCGTGAAGTGGTTAAAAGCAGCTGCGCACGCCGACGGTTCTCCTAAGAAGGTAACGTCATCCGCGTAGGCCAGGCAGATGACCTCCGGGTGTGCCTCTGCAGCAACTTTCAAAGCTGGGTGCATGGCCGCGGCAAAGAGAAGGGGGCTGAGGGGGTCCCCCTGGCGGACCCCAGTTTCACTGAGCAATGGCGGGCGGGTGATCAAAGGCTGCGTCCAGGTGCAGTGAGGAAGGCTGGCCGTAGGAGAAATTCACTAATGGCAGCAGTGGTTCTAGCTGCGACCCTTTCAAGGCTGTCGCTATGGCGTGGCGGTCAACGCTATTGAAGGCGTTAGCCAGGTCAGCTTGCAAAACCAGTGCGTCCTGGTTGGCCACGGTGAATGTTCGAACGATATGAATGACTGCTTCAGCTCCTCCTGGCACGGTCAGCTTGCAAAACCAGTGCGTCCTGGTTGGGTTTGCTCCACCGCACTCTCTCTCCTCGTTCTCCCACCGCACTCTCTCTCCTCGTTCTCCCACCTCACTCTCTCTCCTCGTTCTCCCACCTCACTCTCTCTCCTCGTTCTCCCACCTCACTCTCTCTCCTCGTTCTCCCACCTCACTCTCTCTCCTCGTTCTCCCACCTCACTCTCTCTCCTCGTTCTCCCACCTCACTCTCTCTCCTCGTTCTCCCACCTCACTCTCTCTCCTCAATCTCCCACCTCACTCTCTCTCCTCGTTCTCCCACCTCACTCTCTCTCCTCGTTCTCCCACCTCACTCTCCCTCCTCGTTCTCCCACCTCACTCTCCCTCCTCGTTCTCCCACCTGCCTTTCATACTTGTGCTCTCTACTTCGTGGCCCACACCCCTCCCCTCCCTCCTCTCCCTCCACACTTCCCCTCCCTCCCCCCCCTCCCCTCCCTCCCCTCCCTCCCCTCCCTCCCCTCCCTCCCCTCCCTCCCCTTCCTCCCCTCCCTCCCTCCCTCACTCTCCTCTAACCCTGGGTTCATGCCAAGCCAAGGCTGCAGCACAATCCCTCCCTCTTCTCCCTCCTTTCCCCCCCTCTCCTCCCCCCTCCACCACCCTCCACCACCCCCCACCACCCCCCACCAGGCAATCCTCTCAGGCTGCATCCCAGTGACGTTCCTCCGTGCCAACGACAACCCCTGGCCTGGGCCGCCTCACAGTACCACCATTCTGCCCCCCACCATTCCTCATTCTTCTCCACACCCCCCACCACCCCCACCACCCCCCTCCCATGCGATCCTCTCAGGCTGCATCCCAGTCACATTCCTCCGAGCCAACGACAACCCCTGGGCCGCCTCACAATACCACCACGCAGCAGCAGCATCCGCCTCTGCCAGCGCATCTCCCCCGTCGGCCCTCAACTACGCGGTGTTTTCGCTCAACATCGACCCGGCTGCGGTGGACTCGCTGCCCCGCAGGCTGCAGGAGGCGTTGCGTCACAATACTGCAAAACAACTCTTCCTCTTCTCCCTCCCTCGCCCTCCCCTTCCATCAGGCGATCCTCTCAGGCTGCATCCCAGTGACGTTCCTCCGTGCCAACGACAACCCCTGGGCCGCCTCACAGTACCACCACGCAGCATCACCCTCAGCTGTCCCCTCGGCCCTCAACTACGCGGTGTTTTCGCTCAACATCGACCCGGCAGCGGTGGACTCGCTCCCCCGCAGGCTGCAGGAGGCGTTTGAGCAGCCGGGGCTGGTGGAGCGGCTGCAGCACAACCTGGGGCTCGTGCAGGTGGGCACTGGGACTGGGGCAGGTTTGACTGTTAACTGGTGGGGTGGTTAAGTCAAGATTCAGTGGCTGTCGACTCGCTGCCCCACAGGCTGCAAGAGGTCTTTAATCAGCCGGGGCTCGTGGAGCGGCTGCAGCACAACATGGGGCTCGTGCAGGTGAGTACTGGGGCAGGAGGGACTGGGGATTGTCAAAGGGTATGGCTCCCCAAGCCAGGGTGCATCTACAAGTATTCATCCCTCCTTCACTTTCCACTCCCCACTCACCGCTCCCCATTCCCCACTCCCCACTTTACTCCCCACTCCCCTGCCATTGCTGTCATGCTACAGGAGATGTTCAAGTGGCATGACGGAGCATGGGAGGAGCTGCTATCTCCTCACCACCTCCCACTCCCCACTTACTCCCCATTCGCATGCCCTCCTGCTCGTGCCACAGGAGATGTTCAAGTGGCATGACTCCCTGGACCAGGGGGCATGGGCGGTTCTCATGAGCAGGCTGAGGAAGATTGGAGCAGCGGCAGCACAACCACAGCTCACCGTTCCCCTCTCCTTACTTCCCACTCCCCACTCCTCTGCCCTCCTGCTCGTGCCACAGGAGATGTTCAAGTGGCATGACTCCTTGGACCAGGGGGCAGGGGCTGTGCTTATGAGCAGGCTGAGGAGGATTGGAGCAGCAGCAGCAGCGGCGCAATCACAGCAGCTGGAGGATCAAAAGGAGCGTAGATGATGGTAGAAGAACAATACTGGTGGGGGGTTTCATGCCATGCATTTCTGATTTATCAGACCCTCCCTGGACGTGCATAGTATGTAGGTTTTATCAGGGTACATTCATGTGGGGACACTTGTGTCTCAATCCCCGTTTTCCCGAGTCGCGCCTGTTAATTTTCCCAATGTTGTGTCACAAACATCGAATGTACCGCGACGTAGGGTGACAGATTGGCAGGTTCAGTTGGACACGTTTCATTGGCTGCGATAAAAAAGAGATGTACAGTTGTGTGCATTTGACTGGGTGACAGTACACCCGTATTTTCAACCTCCGAGCAGGGGCGTGGTTTCGATGTGTGGGATCCTTTCCCTCGCAAAGTTGGCATTTTCGGACGTCCAGGTGCACGTGGTCGTTGTTGGGAACAAACAGTCCTAAGCGCCTCTGTCGTGTCGAAACACCAAGACACAAGCGAAGCAGCGCATATCGAAACACCAGCGAGTCAACCCTCGGAGGTTGATGTTGTTGGGCTGAGAAATAGCCCTTAGGATCTTTGCAGAGGAGAACTCTTGGGTAGAAACTTGTAATAGCGGAAGCGTTTAATGAGGATTGTGAACCGACCTTGCACTGGTGTGTGAGAGCAAAGTAGATTAAATTAAACAAGCAAATACAAGGATTTATATAAGAGTACAGGGAATACGAATAGATAGGTAGATAACTGTATTGCTGTTGCGGTTCGATACAGTGCGACTCGGGCAACTGTTCTGTAACGAGTCAGTTGTGTGTCCTTAACTGTCGCGCTGTGATTGTCGAGTCAAAGGTCAGCGACCTTTGACTTTCTCGTAACCTCCAGGCGGTTACCCTAACCTCCGAGGTTGACTCGATGCTTCGATTGGGACTGCTTCGCTTGGTGCCTTGGGTTTGATACGACAGAAGCGCACTTAGGACTTATTGTTTCCAACACTCCCCTTCGCTTCTGGAGTGTCGCTGCTGGTGACGTGGCCTTGTCCAGTCAGCATCATGCAGTATTCGAACTTCTGCTTTCCGAGTTTCTTGGTCAAGTAATCGGCTGCCATCTCGGATGTTGGGCAGTATGACAGATCGAGTTTCCCTTTTTCTATCTCGTCCTTCACGAAGAAATAGCGCAGGGCGATGTGTTTCGTCCTGTTTGCGAAGCCGTTTTTGTTGGCGATGCGAATTGCCGACTGGTTGTCGCAGAACACGGTGAAGCTGGGTAACTCGGCTAGTTTCGCTTCTTCCAGTAGTTCGCGAAGGTAAAGTCCCTCCTTGGTGGCTGAGCAGAGTGCGATATATTCTGCTTCTGCTGAAGATAGTGCGATTAACTCCTGCTTGCTTGACTGCCAGGAGATAGGACCGATAGGCTCAAGGCGGTAGACATAGCCGGTGCGTGAGCGCCTGTTGTCGGTGTCGCCGGCGTGATCGGCGTCGACGTAGCCGATTAGTTTGGTCGGTGTAGTCACGTTTTTGTGATAAGTTAGTCCGATCGTCGCGGTGCTGACGAAGTAGTGGAGAGCACGATCGAGTTCCGCCAGATGCTCTGCTTCAGGTCTCTTGAGATAGGTAGCGAGCTGACTCGCGGAGTAGGATAGGTCGGGACGGCACGTGTCTGCTGCGAAAAGAAGGCATCCTAGCTTCTTCTGATAGTCGCGTATGCCGGCGGGTTTAAGTAGAGTAGATTGCCCCTTTTCGGTTCCTGACGTGTAGCGATAAGGCGTGGAGATGGCGCTTGGTGTGAGACGAAAGCGTTTCGCGATAGTGTCGGCGTACTTCTCGGCGCTTAGGTAGATTGCGTTTTCTTCCTCACGGATGTTGAGCCCGAGGTATTGCGTAACCGTAGAAGAGACCGTGAGCGTGAGGTCTTTCTGGAGCTCCCCTTCGAACCACGCGGCGATGTTGTCGGTTGACCCAATGTAGAGAAGATCGTCCACATAGACGATTAATAGGACGTAATCGCCTCCTTTTGTGAGGCGATACATGCCCTGGTCATGCGGGAGTTGTTTGAAGCCGATGCGGATGAGGCGGGCGTGTAGGTACTGCTGCCACAGTCGCGGTGCCTGCTTGATCCCATAGAGTGATTTGAGTAGTTGACACACTCGGTTGGGTTCGCCGTGGGAGCCGTGCGGGAGTTCAACGAAGATTTCTGCATCCACAGGTGCGTAGAGAAATGCGTTCGCAACGTCGATTTGTCGTAATTTCTTTTTCTTCATGGCGGCGACGGCGATGAGGATTCGGAGTGAGGTGTGGCGACTGACCGGAGCGAAGGTTTCGGTGTAATCTCTTCCGTGCTCCTGGTCGAAGCCACGTACGACCCAGCGGGCTTTGAATTTGTCGATGGTGCCATCAGCTTTCGTCTTCACACGGAAGACCCATTTTCCGGTAAGAATGTTTTTATTTTGAGTTACGCCGATGGGAACAATTTTCCAGGTGTTGCGCTCCTCCAGTGCCTTCAGCTCTTTGTCCATAGCTTCACGCCATTTCTCCCTGTGTTCCCCCCCCAGAGCCTGCTGAACCGTCGCAGGCTCCTCAGGAATGCCGGCGCCATGGACTGCGGTGACGAGACCAAGGATTTGCAGCCCAGTCTGTGAGTATCGAGGGAGTTCTGGATCCTCGGGATAAGCTGCTTCGTCTCCCGTTTCTGGGTCGGGCATGAAATTTGGCCCTACCCTTTCTGCTTCGTTGGTGTTGACTGTCACAGGTGTTACGTAACCATCGTCGGCGAAACGGTAGAAGATTTCGGCGTTGTTACTGTCGCGAGGATTATCCTCATCCATGGGCACGTCGACGGAGCAGTATGGGAGAGGTCCGGCTTCTTCTGAGGCGTTGTCGACGTTCTGTTCATCCCAGTCTGCTTCGTCCGCTGCTGACGCGAAGGCTCGGTCACCATGAAAACCACTGGTGAGGTCCCGATTCTCGTGCAAGTTGGCGAGGTACGTCTGAAGGGTGAGTCTTTCGTAGAAGATCACGTCACGTGCTGCTACTGTTTCCTTTGTGTGGACGTCGAAGATTTTCCATGCGTTGTAATTTTTCTCGATGCCGAGGTGTAGTCCCCACTGTGCCCGTTGCGAAAATCTTCCCGCTCGTGCTTCTGGGGGTCTGTACTGTACCATGCACCCGAAAACTCGTAACATTTTCGTGCTGCCCTGCTTCCCTGTCCACAACAGATGCGGTGATGCGTTGTTCGGGAGTGACGACGACGACAACAAGTTGTGCAGCATGACAGCGTGGTCCATTGCTGCTGGCCACTGGTGGTTGGGTAGCCGCATGCCACGTAACAGTTTGCGCATGCTGTTCTGCAGGGTCCTGTTCAGTCGTTCTGCAACACCTTGCTGCTGATGTGCGTAGGGAAGGGAGAGGAGTTGCTTGATCCCCCTTTCCGCCAAGAACTGCTTGAAGCGCTGAGAGGTGTACTCGCCACCTCCGTCTGACTGGAAATTTTTCAGTTGTGTTCCAGACTCTCTCTCTGCTATCGGTAGCCAGGCGGCGAATGCTGCGAGCGCCATGTCGCGGCTGGGTAGGTTGCGATGCCAGACGTATCGAGTGGCAGCGTCGATGAAGGTGATGGTGTAGTTGTAGTTGACTTGTCCTGGTTCGCGATTGTAGAGGATGTCGCTGTAGACTTTTTCGAGTGGTGCGTACGCTGGAGCGCTCGGGTTGTGATGTGAAGCAAACGGTCGATGAGGTAAGTCAGCTTCGGGACATATAAGGCAAGTCCCTCGTGCCTTCTGGAGTTCTCTGCCATCGGGTAGAAGTAGAGAGTCTTTGTCGAGGACTCCTGCTCTTATCGTGTTATTCAAAACCGTGTTGCTTGGATGTCCTGTGCGTGCGTGCCAGATCTCTTCAGAGGCGCGGTGTCCGGGTGAACGCTGATATGCGTCGGAGTTGGAGTAAAAGCTGGCGACGAGGTTGGCGCTTCGGTGGACTTCACGCTCAGTCGGATTCAGCTGTTGCGCGGGTGTTGGTGGTGCTTCGTCGACTGTGACTGGTGTCGTTGTTTCTGCTGCCGCTGATGTTGTTGTTGCTGCCAATGTTGTTGCTGCTGTCGATGTTGTTGCTGCTGCCGATGTTGTTGTCTCTGCTTCTTGTTGAATCGTTGCTAACGCTCTTGTTCGTTCTGCTTCAAGGATAGTGTGGGAGTACCAGAAACCTCCCGGGCTGAAGTCGGGGTCGAGATCCGGAGGGTGTGTCCAATCAGCAAAGTTCACAATGGCGTCGCTGTCTGCAATGCCGAGGTCAGGAACGAAGTCGCGGACGAAGACGTTGTTCTTCAGCACTGCTTTTCCGATGTAGAGACCGCCTCTCCCGTGGTAAAGCTTGAACTCCTGGGTCGTGCTGTCGGCTTCCAGATGAATTCCTTTCGCCATCAACTGGCTAACGCTCAGTAAGTTGTAGCCGAGTCCTTCAGCGATGAGTACCTTAGACATGTGCAGTATGACATTTGTTTCTCTTGACTGAAGCTGTACCACTCCTTGTCTTCGTGTGCGCAGGTTTTGGTTGTTGGCAACCGTGATGATCACTTCCCGTTGGAGTCGATGTTCGCGTTGTACGAAACGCCCGGACGAGCACATGTGTTGCCCGCAGCAACTGTCCAAGAACCAGGTGTCTTGGCCGGACGGTTCACTTTGAGCGATAGCGGCGTAAGTCGGATTTGGATGGAGTGATTCGCGACGAGGCGTCCTGTTGTCGAGCTCCTCTTCCGGTGAGTAATGGGGTGGTGACTCTGTTACGCAAGAGT